GGGGGAGGTGAGTGTGCTTGAAAGGGGGTGGGGCTTTGGCGTGGGTATTGCCGGCAGCGGTGATTGCTGTTGCCGATGGTTTTGGGTGTGTGTGCGGAGAACCGGGGAGTTTAGATTTTCAGGCTTCACTAATTGACGAACATGAGGTAACTTGGCCTTGTGGGGGAAAACGTGTTTGCTCGTTTACTCCACGCTTGGAAAACCCCGTCCTACCGTGTGCACCTTCGTCGTCCATTCTCGGATCTCTTCTTTTCTTTTGCCGCATCCAGGCGATCCCTTTCGCGTCGCGGACACCGGCACCGAGATGAGGAAAGTCCTGGGCCACGGACACGGCCGGTCCCGCCGACTGTCTCTCCGGCACCACCGCCTCAACAGCTACGGGAGCGGGCGGGCAGGGGTGATCTACGGGGGGTACGCAAACGGCAAGCACGGGACCCCCCCTTCGCAGCTCCACTGCAACGGACACAGCGCTCCCCACATCATCAACAGCAGCACGACCGCCTCAGCGGGGGGTGACGGTGGCGGTGGCGGGGGGTGGGGCGCCGCGGATGGAGAAGAGGGGGGGGTGGTACACGACGGCGACGACGACGAAGCGACCGGCGACGGCAATGGCGAAGACGGCGGCGGCATCGGGTCCGTCGCCTCGCAGACCCCGCTGCTGCTGCCGCTGCAGGCGGAGGGAGGACCATATGGCGGCGGCGGCGGCGGCGGGGGGAGAGGAGAGAGGGACCACCGCGTGGCCTCTCTCTGCACCGACGAGCGGCGGCGGCGCACGGAAAGCCTGGGGTGCTACGGCAACGACGGTTACGGGGGATACGCAGATTCGACTTCTTATGGGGGTGGGTACGGGTACGGAGGAGGAGGAGGCCACGTCATCGGGGGAGGGGGCGGTGTCGGCGGGAGTCCCGGTATTTCGCTCGCGCGCGCTAGGTCCGCGGGGGGCGAGGTGTACGGAAGGGACGCCGAAGACTTTGTTGCCGAGCTCGACTTCGTGTGCCAAGGACNGGGGGGGGGGGGGGGGGGGGGGGGGGGGGGGGGGGGGGGGAGGGAGAGAGAGACACAGACAGAGAACACAGACAGACACACACACACGTGTTGCCGCCTATGGAAAAATTGCCGTATTTTTTTTTCTGGTACGGACATTACTAATCCTGGAATCACACCCCGAGGCAGTCTTTCCGCGAGGGACTTAAAGTTATTCTGCTACAAGTCTCGCTGTGGTGCTGGTCCCAAATCTTGCACATCATCGATGCGTTGCCTACATGTAAAGAGGCACACATTCCAATTTTTGTCTGGTTTGGTGCAGGTTAGGTATTCAGCAAAAGCGTTTTAAGCCCATTGCGTGCTTCCTTCCATGGCTTGGATTTGTAAGAGTTTTTTCGGAGGTAGACGCATGATCGTTCTGGAGGCCACTGTGCTGACAACTGGAGTTTAGACTTGAATTTGGGCCGACTTTCGCAGGCCAACCGCGGACGCTGTAATGGAGATCCCTTATGGTGCGCATCATGGATTCGTTCTATGGTCTTTTGTTTCTACGATAGGCCAAGTATCGGCCGAATCGGTCCCAACAGCTGAACAGGTTGCGCGCAGCAGCAGGAAGCTGGTTCAACTCCGATGTGGTCGAAAGGCATTTCTCGCGTCCAACGCAAAATCAAAGGGTAAAAACAGCTTTCCGGTGGAGGTCATGACCTGCGTGAAGTGCCCGTGTACTTTGGTGGCGCGCCGAGTTCTGCGTGAAGAGCATGAGGTGGTGAAAGGACTGGGCTCAGCTACGTCCAATCCGGGGAGGGGGGGGGGGGGGTGTTACTCATAGTTGTGCATGCCGTAGTCGTTAGACCATTGACCTCGCATCCCTACAAAGCCGGGACGGAGCACGCCGGGCTCTCACCGGACCAGGCTCTCACATCACCAAGCGCGAAGCGCCGTGAAATATTCGGCGAGTCGCAATCTGGGAAGGGGATGAAACAAAATTGACCCCGCTGAACCAGCGGCGTGATTTGTTTGTCCGTTCTTTTTTACAACCTACTTACAGGCGGCAACACGTGTGCAGACAGAGAGACAGATACGCCCCATTCTTTCTCCCATAAACCCACCCAGCTATTTTGTTCAGCATTAGCAGGTTGCGTAATACCTCTACCACACACGCTGGACTGATATTTAATGCTCATGCTCGATTACTTCCACGGCGAAGAGGATACCAACATCGTATGATGCGTTTTCGGAGTGCTCTCTCTCGACAAGGCTGTTGTTTTGTGCTACTGTACAGACTACAATCGAGCTTTGGAAATCGGTGAAGGGGTTGTACATCGTTCCTTATGCAATTGTGTGGTACAGCAGTAGAGAGCAAGCCTGCAGCGTCTGGTGCCAAGAGCGACACCAAGTGTCTGGTGCGACATGCTGGGAGATTTCGATGGGTGTGCCACGTTTCATGCTTCAGGTCGTGCATTAGCGATGCTCGAAAAATAACACTCGAAGAGGAAAGAGAGAGATAGGACATTTTTTTTTGCATAATTTTGCTTCTTTTTTGGAAGTTAAATGTCTTCCTGCAGGATTGATTTTATTCGGCAGGAAATAAAAAATTGAGCTGATAAATAGGTATCTGCTTGTAGCCCAGACGAGGCTCAAGTGTTGATGTTCGACCAATCAGAGCTCGAATTCGAGCCTCGGTGATACGCTAATGCGCTAGTACATGCCGGGCCTCACGAACGTTTAGGCCAACCGGTCGGTCCGCGTACCCCCCATTTACTCACAATTATTTTGTCATTGGTGAAAGGGTACAGATGGCCGTAGGCGTGCGGATGTAACCGCAGCCACTGCTGCCCGCGACCTTCGTCCCATAGCAAGGACCCTTCGTCGCAGAGGTACACCCCCCACCCACCTTCTCACATCGTCCGTGCCCCCGCCCCGCCCCGCCCCGCCCCCGGTTTTTTCACCCAAACCAGAGGGCAGCAGCAGCAACAACAGTCTCACGATGGCGGCGCCAGTGATGGCGATGCCGTCGCAAGTCGGCAGCAGGCTCGGTCCACCAGTGTGTCTGGCGGTGGAAGCGGCCTTGGGTACGGGTCATCGGGGGACGAGGGCCGGGTAAGACTAAGCGGTAGCTAGCCTGCTGGGGTGAAGCCATGATTAACCGGGAGGCACTACTGTACTACATTTGCACTCTCACGTCTATTGTAGCCGCAGTTGGGCCAGGAGCACTGCTGTAGAGTGGATTTCCGGGCAGTGGTTTCGTCCCGGCCCTCTAATACATCCATTCCATTGTGCGTCGTGCTTGATGCATATTGGTAGCTGGCGCGTGACCATGGAAGGCGTCCGCGTCAGTGGACCGGCACGGATATGAGAAAGTACTCGGTGCCAGTTCGCACAATCGTCCCCGCTTGAAGGGGGGCAAGAAAAGTAAGGATAAATAATACTCCCTGCTCTTAAGGACGCCATTTTCGTTCGCCAGTGTGTAGTGCCGTCACTTACGTGTAGTGCGCATACCCATTTGGGGCACGTGACCACGGAAGGCGTTTGTCCGCGTCAGTTGGACCGGTGACGGATGTTTGTTCAGAAGCTATTCCTGCTGAAGTGAGGGGGGAACGAAAGGTTGCTACTGTCAAGGCAGCAGCGTTAGTTACTATTGACAATCGTAAACATCTGAATTAGAAAGTTCTTTTCGTACAACCACAGAGCGACTACTGGTGAGATAAAAACCACCTTCACCTGACAGCAAACTGTGTGTGCGATACTTCAGTAAACCACAACAGTGGTTTTACCGTCTTAACCACCACTGCCCCTGCGAAAGCACTCGAGGCAGCACCCAATTTCTCGCCTGTTTTTTGTTGTTTTGTTTTTTCTGACACTTGTGTGCGATGAGTCCGACATGTCTGCCATGGCTCGCGTACGGCATGGCCAGGCATTCACGACGTCCGAAAAAGCAAGACTTGTTAATCGATTTTTCGAACTCTGATTGGTCGAAGATAAGAAAAATGACGTTTCTGGGTTCCCAGCAGAACTCAATTTGGTGCACCTCTGGAACTCCTCCGCCACGCCCCCCCCACCTGTTAATGTTTGCTCTGTGTGCCCCCCACGCGCCCGCTGTTCATGCGCTGGGGCCGGCAACTACGCCTGGAATGAATGGCTATGAAAAGAGTTCCGAGTCAGGCCACGGATCCACTTCAGACGAGGGCATCATGTCCGAGGTCGGCATGGCGCTCACGTCTCAGGTACTTCGAAGTATGTATCTTTTATCAGGACAAGGACTGCTGTCATGGGGTGGTGGGTGCTCAAGCCCCGGCTGTGTGTGGTTGGAACACGTTCTCTTGGTCGTGCATGTTGTGTTCAACCCGCGCGAGTGTGTCAGTGCCAAAGCGTAGCAGCGACCCAACAAAGGCAACGAGCGATAAGGGCGTAGTTGCCATGTTACAACACTCAAGACAACAGCAGCGGTCCGATAATTAATCGTTTGTCTGAGCGGGATTCGTCACTACACTTCCCCGTAACATCTTGTGTACATACTTCTTTTTGTTTCAGGAGGTCATGGGACTGGGCTTGGGCATGAACGTGGAGCCCCACTCGCTTCTGACGGCTGTGACGGTCTCGGCAACCGCGGCGGTGGCTCAGGAGGAATCGGCGAAGGACGTACCTCCCGTAGCCAGACGTGAGCGAAACCATCTGTTGCTGTTGCTGTTGATGTTGTTGGTATGCTGCTTGTTGGGATGTTTTGTTGTTGGTATGTTGTTGCTACTGCCGCTGTTGTTGATGGGGATGTTGGTGATGGTGATGGTGATGGTGATGGTGTGGTGTTTGTTTTGGTAGGTGGTCGGTGCTGCTTATGGCATTCACAACGAACACCTTTAACCTTCCTGATATTCTGCTATCCCCTACCCCCAATATCTACGTCCGCCGGCCCCCCTCCCCCGGCAGCTCTCTTTGGTGGTGGCAGTGGTAAGTACATCCCACCAGCCATGCGAGCGGCGGCCAGAGCAGAGGCGGCGGCGGCAGCGGCGGCGGCGGCGGCGGCGGCGGCGGCGGCGGCTGGCGGGGAGGGTGGGGGTACCCCCTGCGCCCGTTGCGGGACCCCGCCTTCCAATGACGCGGAGGAAGGGTGAGAGAGATGATATCAGCACTATATAGCTCTACGGTAATAGCAGTGGGCCCTGAATTAAGAGTTGCACTCCAGTTCCTGTAGTTCGGCCGCATGGTAGTGCCAAGGGGTTTGGACGGAGGTGCACGGGCCACCCGATACTATCAACGAAAGTACTGAGAAAACCTTCCTTTGTCTTCTTTCGCTCTCGTCTCTCCTCACCTTTCGCCGGTGGGATTGGGGTCCCCACCACAGCCAACCGTGATTGAATATCCATTCCTCCATCCGTGTCACACGATTTTTGCCGGCCTTGCACTTGCTGTGCAAGGGGCGATCGGCCTAAGTTTTTGCGGCCTTAATGCTCACCAGGGACTCACGTTTTTTCGCCCTGTGAGGTAGCACACTCACATGATTGCACCGATGATAAGACACTACCTGCTCCACTACAAACTTAACATGTAAACACGATCAGGAACGACTTGCGGGGTATTGCAGCGGGTTGTTGGAGCGAGGTGCTGGGTGCTGCGGTCGTTGACTTATGCGCTATCTATAATAATTGGTGTTGGTAGCGTATGGTTGATGGCCAGTGCTGTTGGTACCAGTAGCAGTTGTACATGCAGAAGATCGCACTCGCGTACTAGCGGTGCTCGCCACCACGTTGCAACAAGTTGGGTGTATAACCCTTCGGCGACTATACATGTAGACCATACGGCGACTTTACATCTAGGTCTACGGCCACGATTCTTACTCTGCATGCTCAAGTTCTTGAAGTTGTATCTTTCTGAACCTGGTAATGGCGAGTCCTGTGTGTAAAGACGCCCAATGCGTGGGGACCATACCACGTGACACAAACGCTGCACAAACGCTCTTTGATGCACATGTAATACATGCAGCATGATGTTCGATATGGGCGCGATGGACATGGACTTGGGCCTAGCACCACCTCCGCGGTCGGCAACACCACCTCCACCTCCTCAGCAGCCCGCTGCATCACCAGCACCCGTCTTCATAGGTAGCGGGAGCGGTGGTGGCGCAAACGGCAGCAACCATGTGGTCGGGCCGTTAGGGGGAGGGGGGATGGGGCTGACAGCTTCGAGGGGATCGGGGTTCCCGTGGCCTCCGGCGATCAGGGAGGTGAGCGTGCTTCTTTTTTTTTTTTGTTGCACAGGAAACGCGTCTTCTGTTTTTCCCCGCAGAACCTACATCTACTTCTTTCTTTCGCAGAAACTACCTCGTTTTTTTTTTCACAGTTTTTGTGTTTGCTACAATTTTTCCGAGGTTATGACGCTCCCCGCTCCCTCTCTATTTTTCCGACCCCTTCAGTTTTCGCAGCAAGTATCGAATGACCGACCATCGCGAGCAGCAAACACATGAGCATCCCCCCACCCCCCCTCTCGAGGACTCTTGGTCTAACAACGAAGGCATGCAACACCTGAGTAACGCCCCCCCCCCCTCAGCGCTTCGCTCTTGGCGATGTGAGAGCCTGGTCCGGTGAGAACCCGGCGTGCTCCGTCCCACCTTTGTAGGAATGCGAGGTCAATGGTGAAACGACTACGGCATGCACGACTGTGAGTACCCCCCCCCCTATCGTTTTCTGCAGCACTACTATACCGGAGAATACCACTCTCGTCGGCCCTGCGAACCGGAAGGGCGGTGCAACATCAGGGGGGGGGGGTGCGGCGGGGGCCCCGTGCCATCCGCGGAGGCGTCCCCGTCGTCCTTTGCGGCGTCGAGCCCGCTAGGCGGCGAAGGGTTTCCGGTGTACGCGGGAGAAGGCGTTTCTCAGAGCGGTGACGGGGGGGCCGGGGGGGGTGTTGCGTCCGGCGCTGCTGCTGCTGGTACGCCCCCTCCCTCGCAGGAGGGGGCGGGTTGTTCTGCCGCGGGGGAAGGGCTTTGGTGGACGTGCGGCGCCTGGTCCATCATGGGGAGGTGAGAAAGGTTTTTCGTGTTTGCTTGACGGCAAGAGGCGTGTTTTGCTTGACGGCAAGAGGCGTGTTTTGCGTGACGGGGAGGGGCGTTGTCTCGCTCGGTATGTGCGTACAGTGTGTGTGTACTGAATTTCGGTCGGGGAATCGGGGTGCGTTTTCCCTCCCTTGACGAGCCGTGTTGTGATGTGATGTGATGCCAAGGGTCGTCTTGTGGTGTTGAGAACGGTGAAATCAAGGTGTTGTCATGAAAGGTCCATGTCTGCACCAAGACAGGGCAAAGACTCCTGGTCGGGATCAAGACCGACTTGACCCCGTGTGCGCGCCTCTTTCATCTACACACATGTCCCAAATTCCTAAAATCCTACTCCCAACTGACTCGCGGCTCGACCGATCTATCCGCAAGCGGTAATGCTCTGGTGAGGGCTGCGAGACAACGTGGACGTTCCAGGTGACGGGCGGGAAGGAGAGGTGGTGCAGCGCCCCCTGGGGCTTGTGGGCGCTGCACCACCGCTCCCTCGCGCCCGTCACCTGGAACGTCCCCGTTGTCCTCTCGCAGCCCGAACTGGCGCAACTTAGCTGGTGGATAGATCGGTCGAGTCGTGAGTTTGTTCCCTGCAAGTGGGGATGCGCAAACGCAGGGCATGCGGCGGTAGATAGACAAATCGCTGGTACACAACTCAGCACTGGGAGTCTTGGAGTAGTCAGTGTCGGCTCGGGCAGCCGGTCGGTGTGAGTGCGACTGGTGCGAGTCTGTCTGTCTGTGTGTGTGCGACCAGGGAGGGAGGGAGCGAGCGGGTAGTACGGACCAACAAACTCGCCGAACGTCTCGCAAGAACACTCGCCGCCTGTCCGAACGGGCCAGCTCGTGCGTGGGGGGGGGAAGGGGGCGTACGGACCGGCCTACCGTGGACGCTATCGGTCGCCGAGGCTCCCAACATGCTTTTGTTCCGACGAGTCTACAGTACGATTATGTCCGATTCTCTCACAGACCTGTTCAATCCTCTCAAACTATATACCGGTAACATACCGATCCACACCATAACCCCCCGATATTCCAGATACTCTTTCAAATACATGCCGTCCGTTTCCACCTGTTCTCTTTCCAAGTGGTACGCGCAATTGCACTCAATTCACACCAACCCCACTCTTACCTCTTAGTTACAGCACTAGCCGTTGTTACCCCGGGCCCGAGTGCACCACATGTCGGTGTGGGTTCTTGACATTACATGAACGGCGTTAATTCTTCAGGCCGGGGATACAGGCATCCTGGCCGCTGATGTCAAAAACTGTCCGTCACAATGCCTTCACGACGTACATAGCCCTCCCCCCGGTCGTGTGTATCGTATCGACTCATCGCGGCCGGCCTCTCAAAAAACATTCACGGCGCCCCCCCCCCCGGAGTTTGCCATCGGTTGGGTTTTCATCGCTTGGCAACGACGTTGTAAAACAAGCCGACCGCTTCGTGAGCTCGGCAACCAGGTTACTTTTTTTTTTTTACTTCCGTTTTTTTTGTTGGCGGTAATCATAATGGTGGTCGAGTAGATGACGTTATGCGGGGTGGAGAACCCTCACTCCGCGTAAGGGGGATGATCGCACCACGTTGTGTTAAAATGGTCAAGCACCCTCGAGGCAGTTACACAGTGTTAACAACTGTCTCTGGAAGTGAAAGCACCAGAACATGAATGAAGTCATTCGCAGCTGTCATCCGTACGCAAGGAAGTAAGCACAAAATGTCGAACACCCTTAGCAGGATGCAGCGCACCCTTCGTGCNCCGCGTCCCCCCCCCCCCCCCCCCCCCCCCCCGGCTTGCTCGCAGGCGCGAGAAGCAAGAGGATAGGTTTTGCGTGATGCCGGACTACAATAAGTCGGTAGCGAGGCTGTTCCTCGACGGGTCGTCTTCGGCCGGGGGCGGCACGTGCAGCGGCGCCGATCACGAGGAAGATAAGAGGTCCGCCTCCTCCGTTGGTGCCTTGGAGGAGGAGGGCGGCGACGGCGGCGGTGGCCGTTTGTCGGCGGGGTCGGCAGCGTCGCCACAACCGGCGGCGGCGGCGGTAAGGTCCCCGGCGACGGTTTCTCCCCTACACTCTCCGTTGGGTGCCGCCGNGGTGGGCCTCGCCCAGGGGTACTTCGGCGTGTACGACGGCCATTGCGGCTCGGAGGCGGTGCAGAACGTGCGCGATCGCCTGCACGCCGTCATTGGAGAGCACCCTTCCTTCTGGGAGGTACGTTTGCTTCTGGAAGGCATGATTGCTTCTGGAAGGTGCTAGATAGGGCGGGGTAATGAGCCGCCGGGTAGCGACTCCATACCTTGCAGCAGTCCTAACTGCGATCCTCATGGTGCACGAATCCCGACACACGCAGCAGCGTGAATCGTTTGTGGTGCAGCTACGCATGCACCAGAGGGACAGGCTGCAGGGGTGCGACGGGCGCGACGATGGTTGTATGTGCGGCCCCGTTCAAAGTTTTGCACTGCACATGCGGTTGTTTTTTTACAGCAAAAAGGCAAAGTGTGAAGTCTTCCCGCTGTGCGGACGCACATTAGGGCATCTGGAAGAAGCACGCATGCGCATGCGGCATGTACCTTGGCGGCGAGCGTATCACACGTCACACCGTCGAGGAGCACGACCAGCAGCGTAGACATAGGATTGTGGCAAGACATATGCCAAATATTGCGTCGGGCTCACAACTTGCCCGCCACATTGGTCTCAAATCCTTCCGTGTTTCGCGCCAAGTGAAAGCAAGCAGTCTACATTATGTATCATACATCTCGGGACAAAAACAACAAAGCCGTTGATGAAAGTCATGACTTTGATGAGAGCAGCAACAGCAGGCGGGGCATGGATTTTACGAAGACAGTCAGTTGCGCCGCGCAAGTACGCAACCTGAACCGATCCCGCAGGAAACCATCCTGATAACGCACAGAAGCAGTAGCCCCTCACGCCCTCAACGGATTCTCTCTATGGTGTTTAGGTGCGATATCTGGACTTGAAAAGGTGTGTTGTGTGTTGTTCGTTTGTTTGTGACGATCGGTCTGCTGTTTCGGGAGTCGGTTGCACCACTCAACATCAATAAACACCCGCCAGGTTATATACGGCGCATGACTATACCCACGGCGCTCGGGTCGTAACGGGTATAGATAGCTGGTCTCGGATCAGCGTCCTGATGGTCTCCTTCTTCTGTGGTGGAAGTCTACCGCATGCCTGTGTGTGTGTGTGTGTGTGTGTGTGTGCAATCTCCGATAGCTTACGCATATTTCCTCTCCACAACTCCTGGGCGTGCGGGGATGCGATCTTCTACGAAATTGGGCCACATATGCGTGCCTGTGAAGCACGGCCATCTGTTGCCGAAGCACGACCAAACCGGTGCGACGACGAGCGCGTAGTGTTTCTTCTTGCTCAGAAGTGAACAGATCGTCAAACGACGCCCTATCGGTCTCGTTCTGGTCCGAAAGGTGCGACAAATATGCGACACGGAAATCAAACTTCGAGCCCGATATTAAGAGCCTTTTTCTACCTCCTGTGAGATGAAGGGAAACAAGGTCGCGCTTCGCGCTCCGCGGCTCATTATGATTGCTTCTGGAAGGTATATTTGCTGTTCAAGTGTATGATTGTTTCTAGAAGGTATGATTGCGTCTGGAAGGTATACTTGCCTTCGAAAGGTATGATTGTTTACGGAAGGAATAACTGCTTCTGGAAGGTATGCGTTATTAATTTAGGGGCCGCGAGGGGGGCGGGGGGGGGAGGGGAGGGGGGGGGACTCATAGTCGTGCATGCCGTAGTCGTTAGACCATTGACCTCGCATCCCTACAAAGCCGGGACGGAGCACGCCGGGTTCTCACCGGACCAGGCTCTCACATCACCAAGCGCGAAGCGCCGTGAGGTATTCGGCGAGTCGCATGAAGGGTGCGCTGCATCCTGCTAAGGGTGTTCGGCATCTTGTGCTTACTTCCTTGCATACGGATGACAGCTGCGTATGACTTAATTTATTTTCTGGTGCTTTCACTTGCAGAGACAGTTGTATGCACTGTGTAACTGCCTCGAGGGTGCTTGACCAATTTCAC